AGCATAAGCAATCACAAGAAGAAAACACAATCTAAGTTATTTCAAAGAGAAAAGAAAAATCAAAAGTAATATTACCCATTATGGAGATAATTTAAAAAGCAAACAAGAAATCTTTGTGACCTTGGAATAGGTAACAATTTCATAGATATCATTAAAAAGCATTAATCATAAGAAGCAGTACCAATAAATTAGACCTTTATCAAAATTAAGTATTTTCGTACTTTAAACAATCATTTAATAAACTAAAAGACTGGAAAACTATGTTCACAATACATATCATCAACAAAGAACATCTAGAAAATCTGACAACTCCTAACAATTTTAAGAAGACAGCCCAACCCAAAAAATGGACATAAGATTTGAATAGACACTTCACAAAAACAAATGTAAACATGGTCAATAAACACATGAGAGGCTCAGCATCATTACATGGCAGGGAAATGAAAATCAAAGCCACGATGAGGGCCGCTTGGGGGACTCAGTCTGTGAAGCATATGCCTTTGGCTCAGGTCATGATCCTAGGGTCCTGGGATGGAGCCCTATGTGCTGTTCCTGCTCAGCAGGGAGCCTGCTTCTCCCTCTCTCTCTGTCCCCTCTCCCCATTCATGCTCTCTCCTGCATGCTCTAGATCAAATAAATAAAATCTTAAAATAAAAATAAAAATAAAAAAACACTTCACACCAAGATGGCTACAATCAAAAAGACATTAACAGGAGGTGACAAGTATGTGAAGAAACTGGAACCCTCAAGCAATGCTGGTGGAAACATAAAAGGGTGAATCTACATTGGAAAACAGTATCTTAGTCCATTCGGGCTTCCAAAACAAAATACCACAAACTGGGTGGCTTATAAACTGCAGAAATTCTTTGCATCTAGTTCTGGAGGCTAGAAGTTCAAGATTTAGGTACCAGCATGGTCAGGTTCTAGTGAGGACTCTCTTCCAGGTTGCAAACTCCAAACTTCTGGCTGTGTCCTCACACGGCAGGAGGGATGAGGAGCTCTCTCAGGCCTCTTTTACAAGACACTAAACCCCTTACTAATCACCTCAAAAAGGTGGGGAAAAAGCCCCACTTCCTAATACCATGACTTTGGGATTTAGGATTTCAACATAAAAATTTTGGAAGGACTTAAACATTCGGACGAAAACAAACAGTACGGCACTATCTTAAAATGTTAAATACAGATTTACTATGTGACCAGCAAGTCCACTCCTAGGCATCTTCTCAAGAGAAAGGAAAATATTATCTGTACAAAAAGTAGAATAGGAATATTCATAGCGCTGTTTAAAATAGCCAAAAAGTATAAACAACCTAAATATCCACCAACTGGTGAATGGATTAAACAAAGTGTGGCATATTCACACATTGGAATATTATACTATTTAGTCATAAACAGGAACTAAATATTGATTCATACATGTTACAACATGGATGAACCTCAAAACGTTATGCTGGGTAAAGAAACCAAACACAAAAGACCACATACTGTCTGACTCCATTTACATGATATCTCCAGAAAAGGTAACTTGTGAGAACAAAGAATTGATTAGTGGTTGCCTAGGGATGGGGGATAGGACAAGGGAATAAACTACAAATCAACACACATCTTCTTTGGGGGATGATGGAAAGGTTCTAAACTGAAATTATGGTGATTATTGCACAACTCTGTAAATATACTACAAATCACTGAACTGTACACTTAGAAGAGGTGAGTTTTATAGTACATAAATTATACCTCAAAAGGTTTTTTTAGAAAGATACTCAATGTCATTAGTCACCACTGAAATGGACATTAAAGCCACCTTGAGATACCACTACACAGCTACTAGAATGGCTAAAATTTTAAAGACTGACAATAATAAGTATCAGTGAGGACATGGAGCACTAGAATTCTCGTACACATTTGATGAAGATATAAAAATGGTGTAGTGGGTGTGAATAACATCTCCCAAAATGATATGTCCAATCTTAACCCATGGTAGTTGTAAATGTGAAAAAGGGTCTTTGTAGATGTAAATAAATCAAAGATCTTGAGATTAAGATCATCCTGGATTTAGGGTAGGCTCTAAATATAATGACTGGTGTCTTTACTTGAGAAAGGAGAGGGGATATGACACACAAAAACACTTAGAAGGTGGCTATGGGAACACAGAAGCCAACTATGTTCTGGTTGCCCAAACCAAGAAATTCCAGGAGTCACCAGAAGCCAAGAGAGGCAAGGAAGGATTCTTCCCTAGAACCTTCAGAGGGACCATGACCTGTCAACACCCTGCATCCAGATTTACCTTTAGAACTAAGAGAGAATAAATTTCTGTTGTTTTAAGACACCAAGTTCTAGCTGCCCTAGGAAACTAATGCAAATGGCAGAATCACTTTGGTAGTTTCTTAAAAGCTAAACAAAGAACTGAACAACTGGAATCCTGAGTGTTTATACAAGAGAAACAAAGACAAAGACTTCTACATGAATGATGATAGTAGCTTTTTTTACATTAACAGTCCCAAACCAGAAATAATCCAAATGTTCTTAAGCAACAGGTGAATGAATAAACAATATGTGGTATTTTCAAACAGTACACTACTGCTCAGCAATAAAAAAGGAATGAACTACTGATACACAGGACAACATGAATAAATCTCAAAGATCACCATGCTCAGTGAAAGTAGACAGACTCAAGAGCACATACGGTGTTTCCATTTATATGAAAATAGAAAATACAGACTCGTCTACGTCGACAGAAAACATTATTTATTGGTAGTTGCTTGGGAACCAAGGTAGGGGAGACACTGACTGCAAATCAGCAAGAGGAAATTTCTGACTGAAAGGTTTGCTATGTCAACTATGATGGTGGTGTTGCAGATATAAACATCTGTCAAAACCCATCAAATTGCACACTATAAATGGGTACGAATTATTGTTCATATATTATACCTCAGTAAAGTTGATTAGAAATGAAAAAGTAAGTCATGAGTAACTGACCATTTTCTATTGAAGATTTAAAACTTAACTGTCGATACTTTGTTCTAACCAATAATATTTTCATAAGCAAATTTTAAATCAAGTATCAAAGGAATTCTTTAAAGTAAACAGGAAGACAACTTGCTCTATCAATTAAATATGTTTCACATGTTGAAAATGGAAAAAAGCTTTGAGTCAGAAGACCTCATTCTGAGCTCTAGTTCTGCATAGCCACCGAGTGGCCTTGGGCAAGTCATGATTCCCTCAAGCCTCAGTTTCCACATCCATAAAATGTGGATGACATGAGTATCTCACAGGCAAAGGGTAAAGTTTCAGTAGGGTTAAAGCTCCTTTGTGCAGGGATTCCATCTTAGCTAAAGTCATAATCCCAGTGTCTAGCATATCATAGGTGCTCAATAAATCAATGAATGAATGAATGAATGATGAATGAAATCATTCAATAAATCGATGAAAAGAATGAATAACGTAATTATAAAGGAAAGGTGATAAAGACATCATACAGAATGCCACTGGGTGACATTTATCTCTTTCTATGCACTGTTGTAGTCTAATGCAGAAGGATCCTAGCCCCTTTGAATCCATCTTTAGTATACTGTCCATATCATAGGCAGACTCCAGCATGAAAACGTCAGGTCCCTGGTGAGACCTTGTTATAACTCAGGTCATTATAGGACAGATTTTACATTTTAAATCCATAGAAGCACTGCCCTAAGACAAACACCTGTAGGACTCTAAATTCTACAAGAGCAAGAACTGTGTCTGTTTTAGTTATCATCGGTCGTCATCTCTAATATTTGCCTAATAAGGAGTAGGCAACCTAACAGCATGTGTAAAGGTTATGTAGCCAGATAAAGCGGGAAAGAGGGCCTTTTAAAAAGGCCAAAGTGGCTAATGGGTAGAGAGCAGGGACAGTGTCATGTCCCATGAGGCTGTAGAAACAAGAAGGGTCCAAACCATGCAAGGCATTGTAGGCCGAGTGACGTTGTGTCTTTCTCCTAAGAGCAAGAGAAAGTCATGGGAAATTTTTAAACAGGTGGTTGGCAGAGGAGGGAAGAAGGAAAGGGACATGATCAGATTTACATTGCAAAAAGATCACTCTCCAGAGTGTGCAAAACAGACTAGCTGTGTGGAAGAAAGGGGGCATGGGAGCTGTTAGGGTGGAGAGTAAGTGTAGACCAATAAGCAGACTGTTGCAACATCCATTAAAGAGATCATGGAAGCTTGGTCCAAGGTGCTGGAGATAGAAAAAGGGGACAGGTTATCGACATATTTAAACAAACCAAAGGGACTTGATTTGGGGAATGAGAGAAAGGAAACCCTCAATTCTTCTGAACCTTACGATTTCGTCTGTAAAACAGGACAGTTGATAATCCATCTGCATAATCTCTCACAATCTTCTTTGGTACGAACATGATGAAATAATATAAACTTTACAAACTTAACGTAGGTCCTGACGTATAATAAATGCTTAAAAAAAAAAAAAAAGTCGCTATAGATGTTATTACTGCCATCCATGAAATGGCAACTACCAGAGGCTGAAGCCCAAAGGTAGAAAATAGGATTGTAGTGAGACTCCTATCCGCTGAAGACACAGAGCACGACAGGCAGCCACTGAGATAACTGTCTGATAATAGACACGTCTGATTTCATCTGAACCAAGCTCAGTCCTCGGAAACCATTACTGAAGAGGAAGCACAACTGTTATACGCTCAGTCATCTGAGAGTCCGGTAAACTGAGGCACCAGGGTAGCTACAAATGTGACCAAGGAATGAGGCGCAGAAGAGGAAAAGGAAACGGTGTCGTGATTCTCATTCGTGATCCAACAGGACTAGGCCCGCATCCTGACCAGCGCGAAGGTATGTCCCCCCCCCCCCCCCGTGTGTCTGGTTCCCTTACTGACAAGGCCCTGTCACCCCTCGGCTTTAGACCGTGCGTCCGCTCGCCGTGCGACCGAATCCTCCCGGTTCCCGGCCCCTAGCTACAAGTGCACGCAGGATCCCACACTCGACAGACGCCGACATACCTTAGCTTCGCGCTCTCTTTCCTCTGCGGTCGGGGTCCGCTTCATGCTGCCGCTACAGCCGCCTTCGCCACTGCTGGCCGCGTAGGTCCTTCGCCCTGGACCCCGCCTCCTGCTTGTAGTTCTCTCGGCGTCCTGCTCCCGCCCGGCGCCATTCTCCGTCAGAGCCTCAGGAACTACCATTCCCAGGATGCAAGGCGGCGACGCTCGAGAGCGCCTCGGGGTTTGTAGCACGAGAATTTCCCAGGGCCGACAGCTACGCAGCGGGCTGGCGGGCTAAGAGGCTGGAGGGAAACTACATTTCCCAGGAGGAAACGGAGCCCGCCATGTTTTTCCCGTGCTCCTCTCGGTCAGCCGCCCAACACGCCGTCGGCGCTATAGCAACGGTAGCTAGCCGCGGGGAGAGAGTGGCGGTGAGTACTCCGGGGGAGTTGAAGGGGACGGAGGTGGAGGTGGCCCACCATCTACCTGCAGCACGGGGCAGGGTCCTGGGGTCAGCTCTACGCCGGAGAGAAGGCACTAGAGTTCTGCTCGCGTGGAAAGCAGCCCGGCACGAGACAGCACGTCCTCAGGCCTGAATCACAGCCCGCCCATTATCCCCACGCCCAGCACCGGTTTGAAATTTTATATCCCAGCCTTAAGTCCCAGCTGAGGAGCGTTAATGCTAATGGCTGTGCCCATCCAAGTCCTTCAAGTAGAAGGGCACAGAAACACAGTGCTCTCATTAGCCCTTAAACCTCCTGAATGGCCTGTTGTTTGTTTATCGCCTGATGACCCCCATAGGCTCTGAACTACATAACGGCGGGCATTCTTTTTACCATTTTAGTCTCAATGCCACATATTCATTTAATCATCAGGTAAATATTTTTTAAAGATTTTACTTATTCGAGAGAGAGAGGCAGAGACACAGGCAGAGGGTGAAGCAGGCTCCACGCAGGGAGCCCGAGGTGGGACTCGATCCCGGGTGTCCAGGATCAGGCCCTGGGCGGACGGCGGCGCTCAACCGCTGAGCCCCCACCCCCCCACCCCCCCACCCCCGGGCTGCCCTCATCAAGTAAACATTAATGTCGGTGCCCACGTTGCACCAGACCGCTGTTCACTACCGCTGTGAATAAGACTGATGCCCATCTCAAGAGGCTTATACTTGATTAGTAGAAACAAACCAGTAATGAGCTAGTAAACTAATAATTTTAGGTAGAGATGACTGCTGCAACGGAAAGAAGCAGCGATGAATTTGGGGGGAAGAATACTCAAACACAGAGTGATCAGAGAAGGCATCTCAAGAAGTGACATTTGACCCGAGCCCCAAAGAATGAGAAGCCTCCCCATGCAAAGGCTTTGAGCAAGACAGGGTACTGTGGATTTGAGGAACTTAAAGGAGTGTTGAGTGAAGTATGGCAAGCAAGGAGGGATAACAGAAGGTGGTGTTGGAGAGGCATGACAGCACTGTGCCGGGTTTCTCAATCTCAGCACTATTAACATTTGGAGCCAGATCATTCTTGTGGTTTCTGTGCACTGTGGGATGTTTAACATCGTCTCTGGCCTCTAAAAGACAGTAGCGCTGCCCTCCACCTTCCCAGTCGTGACAATCAAAAATATGACCGACCGCTTCTTAGATGTGTGTGACCTTAGGTATGTTACCTAAGCTGTGTCTTGGTTTTTGCATTTGTAAAGTAGTAACAACCTCACAGGGATATTGTGAGATACTTGATTAATTCGTATAATTGGAGCCCTTAGAAGAGGCCTGGCACATTTTAGTAAGCATTCAGTAAATGTTAACACACCACCGCCATCATCATTATTATAAAAGCTACCATGACTCTGTCATGGCAGAGTCATCGTTTAAACACACAAGTGTCCTATGTTTAAACTGCTTGATAATTTTGGTTCCTAAAATTGACTTTTCCTGTAGCAGTGTTTCCAAAAGAAGTAGGAGGTAATCTCTCAGGTATAAGTCTGTTCGTTGTTTATGTCACAGCTAAATGCAGTGGTTCTCAACCTTTGATGAGTTGTGATAAAGTTTATGAACCCTTTCCCTAAAGATGTTGCATATAAACATATGCATACAAGATTTTATAAACCACCTCTTGGGTCTACAGACCCTAAAGCTCCATGGATTCCATTCATTCAGCAGTTATTTAGCAAATGCCTGCTATGTGCCAAGCTGTGTGTCAGCCTCTGAGAATACAGTACAGAGATACACAAGACAAATAAGCTGGGTTCTCTCGTGGACTTTACATTCTAGGCCCAACATCCTAGAGATTGAGAACCTCTGCCTTAAGGCATCTTTACTGGTAGTTTCCATTTGGCTTTTGGGGTGGTTTGAAATGAAAATATAAAATCTTTTTTTCCCCCCACATACTAGACATTGCACAGACCGTTTATATCCACGTACAAAATTGAGTTACTGTGGTGCATCTCTGAAGAATAGAAACTGTAAAACTGTAAAGATGCCAAAATTAACTGGACAGCTTGTATGTTGAGGTAGGAATCCCTGAGACTAGACCTCATGGCAACAAACACAGGACAGAACAAAAACTCAGCTGGTGAATTTATGAAACATCTTTCACAAAACTTGGACCTGCCCACTCATTTGTTCACCAAGCTAAAAATTAATAGTTAACTAATATTGACATCCCAGGCAAATATGCTACTGCTTTTAATTTACCATCTCACCCTTAGAATAACTGTGAGATAGCTAATTTTTTCTCCATTTTTAAAGTTAAGGAACCATGGCACCTGGCTGAGTTTTCAGTAGAGCATGTGACTTTTGATCTTGGGGCTGTGAGTTCAAGCCCCATGATGAGGGTAGAATTTACTTAAATATATATAACAAAGTAAAATGAGTTTTTAAAAAATATAATAATGAAATAAAATTAAGGAACTGAAACTCAGCAAAATTAGGTGACTCGGCCAGCTAGTAAATAATAGAACAACCATTTGAATCAAGTTTCTAACTAGGTTTTTTCCAAGATACCTGCTTGCTTTGGGGGGCATAAAAGAAGGGGGGGATAGAGAGGAAGTATTTCTTTTTTTTTTTTTTTTTTAATGATAGGCACACAGTGAGAGAGAGAGGCAGAGACATAGGCAGAGGGAGAAGCAGGCTCCACGCACCGGGAGCCTAATGTGGGATTCGATCCCGGGTCTCCAGGATCGCGCCCTGGGCCAAAGGCAGGCGCCAAACCGCGGCGCCACCCAGGGATCCCGAGAGGAAGTATTTCTTAAATTTAAGGGAGTTTGTTTTTGTTTCAGATCAAGAAATAAAAAGAAGGAAGAATGATAATCTTACCCCATTTCCTAAGCAAACTATAGGAAATATACTGTTGAAAGAAATGCTGACTGAATATAGTATTACTTGTACAATAGAAGCTTTTACTGTCTTCAAGCCGCACGTGTAGACAGTAGATGTCCATTAAAGTCATAATTCATTTTATTTGGTTCATTCCATTGCACAGTTAATGCTATATGTTGGAAAGATTTTATTTGAATTTTCTCTTCTCCACAGATAGACCATGTCTGGTCCCACTGATGAGACGGCAGGAGACCTGCCTGTGAAAGATATAGGTCTAAACCTCTCTGGAATGGGAGGGTTGCAAGGTATGGCCAGCTGTTATTTATTATCATTATGAACTTTGGTCAGTAACTTTTAATTTAAAGTATTTTTGATATCCTTACAAACAAAGCCATTTAAGTAACTATATAGCTCTTGATTGTACTAAACAGGAACATGGAGAGTTTAGAACAACATATGGTATTTTACTGCGTGCATCAATTATCAACAGCTCATAGAAAATGTAAAATCCCCCTCTGTTCTGATAAAGGATTGTTATAAATCATCTTTTTAAAATTCCACACATCAGTAGAAACTACACAGAATCAAGCCTCCAAATCGAATTGCCTGGTTTAAATCACATTCACCATTAAAATGTTTCTTTATGTTTAAATTTTATATGGGAGGAAATGCCATATTTAAAAATTTTTGCCTTTCAAGTAGAGTATCTCAAAATGGTTTGTTTATCCAAGTGATACTGACTTTGTTTTATCAAATTAATACACATTAAAGGTTTCCCTTATCCTTTTATCATTTAGTGGTTGCCCTAGAGCTAAAAAAATCACTTTCAAATTGGGAATGAAAAACACTGCTTTGAGGAACAATTTAGAGTGTAGAACTGTGTTTCTGTTTGTGTATACAGTGTGTCAGCTCTGCTGTCATGCTACTGCATTTGTCATTGAGACAGCTGTGATATAAAATATATTCCACTAAGATGTCTTAATACCCCTGTGAATTAGAACAATTCAGGTGGCCACCTTGAACTATCACGGAAAGATGGTCAGTGTATTGTTCATTGAAAAAGATAAATTTGACTATACAGCTTTTATTTTTAAATTTACAAGATATATATAGATAGATAGATAGATAGATAGATAGATATAATTTGCTTGAGATCTTTGGTGGAACGCGAGGTATTCAGATACAAATAAACATTAATTGTGCATAGCTGCTTATTGGAATTGGCTACTTTAAGTTCAGTTCTTGCCCTCGGTTTACCACTATAGGGGCTTTAACCTTTGTCCATTTGTTCTTTATTTCTTTTGGATGATAATGAAAATTAGCCAGTGATACAGAAAATACTGAATTTAAGTATATGTAAAAAATCATATACACATGCTGAAAGGTATAAAAGTTCTTTAAAAATATATATATAAAATATATATATATATATAATATAGCTTATAAATGACTTGTAGAGGTTTATTTGTTTGTACTTGCAAATTTTTACAGTTTATTTTCTAGAACCCAAAACCCATACATAGCTCCAAAAAACTTATGTTCACCAAATTATTGTCATAACTCTTGCCTCTGTTAAAAAAAAGAAAGAGAACACAGTTTCAGATACTTTTTAAAAAGTTTTTTCATAATTGAACATATATGTTGAAAAGCCTTATCGAATCAGAGTTCCATCTTATATTCTTAAAGAATGGTTATTTAAATATCCTGTTGAATGGATACTGTTATTGCTGAAATCCTCAATATTCCATGTAAACTTTTATTTTTTTAAATTAAAAATTGTATTTAT